GAGCTCCTATTCATAATATTAGGAAGCAAAAATTGAGAGACTTGAATTTTAATACTGGTTAAAGTACTTACTACCTGTCAGACCATGGAACTTATTTTCCCATAATGTAAAATGAGGAGGTTTGATAGATGATTATTCGATCATTTCAGTTTCTAACTAGACTATTGATAACAGTTTCTTTGTCATCACAGATGCTCTAGAGAATCACTGTGTTGGAAAATTTCCTCTGTATACATATAAGTCTTGGGCCCAAGTCTTGACAGAAGCAAAGTTAATGTTTACAAAAATGAAATGAGGCAAGATGGGGACATTAAGCTCTCTCTCCACAGAGCCCCTTCTCTGCGAGGTTCTTCAAGGCCTGTGATCTGAGACCTTCTTGTGGCCTATAAGAAACAACCCATATTCTGAAACTCCTGTTTCTACATTCCAGGAGAATACCCTCAATTAGATTTAGGGATGCATATTTGTTATTTAATGAAACAACTCCTGAATTTTGTGCTGTGAGGCTCAGAGTTTAGGCTCCAAGAAAAGGGATGGCTTCAACTTGTATTTACCTTTCCCTCCTCAGGCTCTGCAGATGACATGGGAAGAAGGTTGCACTCAGCCCCTGGCCTTGGTCTCTCAAAGACCCCAACAGCAGAAATGGAGCAGAGTCTCCATGAAGCCAGCACAGTGCCAGCTTCTCAGGTAGCAGTTTCAGGTGCTAAAGTGCTGGGCATGGGGTGGTATGTTGGGGAAGAAATTGTGGCAATATGAGCGGTTGGCTTGGTGGTAAGGCAGGGGCATGGTAACGTGGGGCTATTAGATGAAAACAAGGTCTATGATTGAGCTTCTTTTGAGTGAGAGGAGATTTCCACTTGGGCACTACCTTTCAAATACATCTAATTCAGGTCTCTACTAGTAACTCTTACCTTATTCTCTCCCAAATCCCTGGGGACAGGATCTGTGGGGAAACCATAGGTCTGGTTTTATGTGTTTATCTATGTGTGTCTGTGTATTTGAAGGCTACCCCTTGCTGAGGCCCCAGCAGGGAGTATGGGGATAAACACAGTGCAGAGAATTTTTGCTGCATCTCATGTAATCTCAGCGGTACTGTTGTCTTAGAGAGGGCGGAGGTCCCAGTCTCTTCTCACAGTTTTGTAAGTGTCTGTCTATTCAGAGCACCTCTTTCTCTTGCTAGGTAAAATATGGTGTAAGTGAAGGGGAAGAAGAAACTGAAGGTTGTAATTTGGGGGAAAGCTATGTGCACTCAGCAAAAATGAGGACACATAATTATGATTTTATTGACACACATTTAGTTGGAACCCAGAGGAATGTCCCTTCCCTGTAGCAGTTCTGCAAGGTGTATTATAGGGCTGCCCAGGGTGAGAAGAATCCTAGTAGCTTGAGAGGGGTCTCTAAGAAGCAATGGCTGCTGATTTGGGTCAGAACCCAT